CTTACTCCTTTATAACAAATCTTCATCATAATATATGGTTGACGTGCTGTGCTATTAGCACAAAAAGCAACAATCATTAAAAAACTCATTTGTAAATTAAATTTGTTTTTCAATAAAATTATAGTTTTAAATGTTAATTAAAAAAAAAAAAGAATTATAAAAGCAAAAGTAAAAAAAAAAACAAAAAAAATATTTTCAACTAAACTATTCTTTTTTTGGTAAAAATACAAAAAAAAATTATTAAATAATTTTCCTAGTCATAAAAGAATGTGTGTAAAATATTTTTAGGAATACAAAAAAAAAAAATATAAAAAATTAAAATTAAAATTTCCAAAAAAAATGAATTAATTATACAATTAGAGCGCATTCCAATAAAATTTCAAACAAAATTAATTTAATTACACAAACACAATAGAAAATGTTGAAAAATACAAAAATAATTTTCAAAATTTCAAAAAATAAATTAAATCCAAAATATTAGACTTAAAAAAAGAAAGGAAAAGAAACGTGGGTACCATCCCTATTTTATACGTTTGATATTGTCATTATTGCAATTAGAATACTTATACATCTATCGGCCAAAATTATAAACCACAAAAATTTTATATTCTGGCGTTGCCACAATATTAATTTATTTGAAAACTAAATCAGTGTACAAAAAACTTGAATTGAATTTAAATTTAACACAATAAAATTTTTCAATCCCAAAGTATTTGGTCAGAAAAAGCCTCTAGGTTTTATTTTTGGAAATTTCATGTTTAAAAATAATTAAAGTTTTAGAATACTGACGTATTAAATGCTATTTATGAAAACAAAATATACTTAATAAGATTTTTTTGGTTACTACTACTATTACTGCTTTTGCCTTCGGGAACAAAAGCTTTTGTACTCAAATGTTTTATTTAAGTGCTCAAATTTAAAAAAAAATTTAAATTAAAACACATTTAGTTTTATATATTCTGATATGACAATACACATTTCAATTAAATGATGACTGTCATATTGTTTTGATTTCAAATTTTTCGTTTAATTTAATTTTCGTCATCAATATCTGTCAGTTAATTGAATTAATTTGACAATACCGAACGTAATAGTTTACAGAAAAATTTTCCAGTATTAGAATATTAAAAATAAAAAACCAATATCAAAAAAAAATGAAAATTTTAAATTTATGTATAAAGAAATTATGTAAATTTCATATTATACAACATACATACATATATGTATAGTCAAAAAAAATTAATATTTATTGTTAATTAATTATGTATTTATTGGTAAAATTTTATTTCATAAATGAAAAGAAGAGAATTTAAGTATAATTAAAAGTTTTTAAATGAAAATTGATGAATTAGAAAAGAAGATGCAAAAGTACTTAATCTTCGTCATGATATACAAGTAAAATTCAGTACTGACAGTTATAAAGAAAATCAAAAAAATTCTTACGTCAAGTATTGAGAAAAAATCTAAAGCCCCAATACTATTTTAAAAACAGAAAAGTTGTTACAAAAAAAAAAAAATTTTTAAAAAAAAAATCATAGTTTTCTGCAAAAAAAATACAACTGTCAATTTTTTCATATATCTGACATGACTAATTGACACTACTGGGATTTTCAAAAATACTGCTATTTTGGAACTTAATTTTCAAAAGTACTTGCTTGACATTTCTTCTTAAACTAGGACACTGCATATAAGTTACTTACTATACTAAAAAAGTTAAAACTGAATTTTCAAAAATACGGTCAAACCCGTGCACAATATTTTTTTTGCTGTCCTCTTGTCTTTTAAACTTTCATGTCGAAAAAAAAAACCAAGCAAATCAAATTACATTATTCCAATTTGATTTTCTTTTGCACTAGACAAAAAAAAATTAATCAATTCAATTAAAAATTCGCGACCGAAAAATAAATTTTTCAAATTCATGCTATGACAATTGTCAATTTTAATAAAAACCAATTTTAAACCCGCATAACTTATGGAATTATAAGAATACATAAAGAATATCAATTTTCAATTCTACATGTATAGATCTACTGCATATTCTGCATCTACTACATATAATACTTTTGTATATTTATATAAATACTTAAATAAAGTATTAAAAATACACCTTATACATCAAAATATGCATACGCGTATTAAATGTTTACGTCATCAAAACCTATTAACAAAATAATTACCAGTGATTTCCTTTTAAAAAAAATTATTAAAATGAAACTAAAATTATTACCATTTCATTTTTTTTTTTTGTAAATAATTTCATTCTTTATATTAAATATAAAATTTTAATTTAAAATATTTAATACAAATAAAAAATAAATTAATAAATCCCAAAATTTGTTATTAAATTTAATAATATAATTGTTAATTTAGTATTAAGTACATTTAAAGAAAAAAAAATTCATTAAAAATCTCTTCAAAATATTTAATAATTAAAAAAATCTCAAAAATTCATAAATTTATAATTCCCTCTACATACATTATATAAATATAAATATTAAATAGTTATACTAATTAAAAATAATATAACAAATTGTAAATTTTTCTATATATAATTAATATATATATATATGTGTACATATAACTATGTATAAAACTTATATTAATAAATAAAAAATTAAATTTTAAATTTTTAAATTTAAGTTACAATAAAATAAAATTAAATATTTAAAATGGGAATTTAATTAATTTTAATTATTATTTAAAAAAAAAAAAGAATAAGAAGAAATCTATTATAAATTATTATAATTGTACTATTTATTAAAAAAAAATATATATAAAAAATTTAAAAAAAAAATGGCAAAAATTAAAAAAAAAATTAGAATTTTTTAACAAATAAACAAATTGATATTAAAAAACAAAAAAAAACATAATAATATTGGAAAAAATATATAAGTAATAACTTTACTAAATTAAATTAAATTAAATTAAATTATAAATTATATACTATTAAATTTTAAAATAAATGATTAATAGTAAATAATTGTATAAATTAAAAATAATATTAAATTATAGAAGAAAAAAAGAGAAAATTAAAAAATAAAAATGTGATAAATTTGATTAAAAAAAAACAGAGTGTTTCAATTGTGTAACTTTTAAGAAGAAAAAAAGAACAATTTTTATTGGTGTCGGGATTTGAATAAGGAACAGACCCCTTATGTTATGTTATGTTATGTTACGTATGGGGCTTTAAGGCTTCCTATAAATTTTAAGAGGTCCGCCATGCACGACGATTCATGAGAATTCAAGTCTAAGTCCCCGAGAAATCTGCATCTAAAGCGAGCTAAGCCGACAACAGACCCCTTAAATGATTTGTTTAGAAATCTTTAACTGGAATGAAATAAACACAATTTCTTAAGATTTTTCTTAAAACTCTTTAATTCTCATATTTTTGTATAAACATACAGACAATACAAATTTGTCAATTATTAAAAATTTAAAGTTTCAAAACTTAAGACACCAACAACCTTATTGTACTCGCAGCACTAAATTTCAAAGAAATTACCAATTTCATATTGTGAATTCCGAAGTAGTAGAATTGTATACCGTAATTGGTAATAGAGTAATTATGAATTACACTCGTATTGAAAATAAATGTCAAAATTCTACTAATGAAATTTTCAAATATAAAAAGCCGGTTTTCAAAAGTTGTCTGTTAATTTTTTTTTAAGGTTTTGATTATTTGTTTCAAGTATTTGTTTATTATCCAAATAAAAATGGTTATAAACATCTCCAAGACGTTTTCTTTCCAATCGCAGATTTTTGTCTTAGTTTTGTATTTCTAAAACAACTACATCAATGGAAACAAGTTCAATTTAATTCCATTGCAGATTCATAATCTCTACGAATGAGATTTATAATTACTAAAACGTCTACGTGCGTAACTTATTTTGAACTATTCGTAGAATTCTACGAGGGAGATTCACAATAAGGGTGCAAAATATAGAATAAAAAAACTTTTTAATATTAAGTATTTCCAAATTCATTCACCAACAATACATATTAAGGTATTTTAAAAAAAAATTATGTTAGTTTAAAAATTAAATTGAATAGCTATTGAAATTGGTTAAGAGTTCTTATCTTTATGCTCTCGAAAACATAACATACTGTTAACATTCTTATAATTTCTCATATTTTTACCATAATAAGGAAATAAATTTGAACCAAACCTATAAAGTAATACTTTCAACATGTTAAAAAATAATCTACATAATTATTACATTAATTAAATTTATTTCGATTATAATACCAAATTATTTCAATTGATGCTCTCGAAAACATAACATACTGTATAACAACGAATATGAAGCGATAAATTGCAATTAGTTTCGACCTAATCTTAGATGTCCTCATCCTTAGCATAATATTCGAATTCGGTAGTTAAGTAATATGTTAAGATAAATAGTTATGTTTTTGAAGCTTCTCATTTAAATTTGTTTGAAGTTTCGAAAGAATAAGTTGCCGAAAATTCAAATGTTACAAATTTCAATAGGTGACTTGAGAGGGGTCCGGGCTAGAAAAAATTTTTTTTTCTAATGAAATAAAATATTCGAAGAAATGGTAAGGCAGTACAAATTACGACCTTTCCATGTCTTCAAATACAAAAATCGTTCCATGAAAATTGAATTATGTAGTAAGTCCCCAGTGGTGAGCAAATTTTATATTATGTGATTTCACAGTAAATTTATAGGAACACACCTGTAATTTAGGAACACACGCAATACAAATATTATATAGTTTTCAAATAATATTTTGGTAAAGCACATATTCATATATGTGTATGAGCAACAATTTTTTTTTTTAAACACAAAAGAACACACAATTAAAATTTAAAAGTAAACCAAACACAAAATTTTCTGCTATGAACACAATATAATTTTTATTATCTTAAGAACCAAATTGATATATGGGACACTTTTATTTGAACACCTTATATAATTTATTATATATTTGAAATTTAAGTAATGAAAAAAAAAAAGAAACCAATTCGTAGTTGCCCTTTTTTCTAAAGCTTATACTCCATTTCTTTTAATTTTTTTATTTTAAAAATAAAAAAAATTAAACGACAACTGCTGCTATTGCTGGAGAACTAACAGCTGTATAATGTAATGGATTAGCAGCAGCAACAGCTACAGGTACATCAGCTGTAACAACTGGAGCATCAATTGCTACAGTTCTAGCAGAATGAATTGGTAGTGCATGTGCATGATGAGCGGCAGCATGTGCATGATGTACATGTGAATGTGAATATGCATTTACAATTGGTAAACTAGCTGCTGCATATGTATTAATAAGTGGTAATCCAGCACTGTATGTAGATACAACTAATGGATCAGCTTTTGGATCAGCTTTTGGTTCTGGTGCAGCTAATACAATGCTTAAGCAAGCAGCAAATACAATGAACTGTTACAGAGAAAGAAGAATGAATAATTTTTAATTTATTTAAATTATGTGGCTTAGATTGCAATTATAATAAAGATTGCAACTATACCAGAACACTTTTATTTTCTTACCGATTTGGCAAACATGTTGAATTGATTTTAGGTTTTTTGTGAGTTTTTGAAATTGTTGTAACTATTGTAAGTTTGTAACTTGAATGATAATAAAATAAAAATTCACATTTCTTTTATATAGCAAATTGAAATTGAGATCAACTTCAATTGATAAAAATTTTGTAACAAAAGAGAATCGAGGTAATTCGGTTACCGCATTTAATTTACGAAAAAAATTTATGTAAATTATTTTTTTTTCGAAAAAAAGTATAAAAATAAATTTTTTAATTATGTTTGAAATTCCTGTTTTTTTTTAAATCAAGATTAGAAAAATCATTGTGTAGCGAGTAATTGAACATCAAATAAGTAATTGAATTCAAGTACAAATTTCTGACGCATGTGGGATTTTTATATCAGGTTTTCACTATATATTTAAATTTCGATCACTCCATATGCCTATGTCAATAGTTAAAATTGAATACAAGATTTTGCATTAAAATTTTATGAATCTATAAATTGAAAATTTTAATCGTAAAAAATTCTTTACAATAGAATTTTGTATGTATATCCGGAATATTTGAATAAAAGAACAAAAAACTCGTATCAAAAGAGGAGCATTTGCCTAAATTCTATTGAAAGCGAAATTTTTTTTTCTATAGTTATTTCAAAAAATATGGTAATTATGAGGACCGGTTGTGAGTATACGATTGTACTTGTTTGTTATTTCGACGATATGTAGGTCATAATTGCTCTTTATATGTGATTTAGCCCTGATTTTTCATAATTGGTCTCCATGTTCTTAAGCTATACAGAAAAATATCTTTATGTAAACTTTTGTAAATAATGCTTCTAGGTGATAAGGTCTGTTTCCAGAAAAAATCTTTTTGAGACGTATGGACGGTTTGTCGATTTATATGAAAAAGCAATTACCAATTCCCAGCATTACAAAATTATCAGATAAAAACCTGTAGGTCTTATGTTATGCGATAGTATATTAAGCTTACTTTGTTTACAATTTACATTTACCAATTATCTAATAAATTTACGATAATGTAAGTTGTATGGTTCCGTTTTGACATCATTTTCAAAATATTTTTGGTAAGATTTCTTTTGCCATGTTAATATGCATAAAGAACATCTTAGCAACTATTCCAAATATTTTGAATTCAACAAGACAATTTACTGTCTTAAATAAATATTTTTAGCTACTTTATAGGGTTAAGGGAGACAAAAATGTTCGTGCACTGCTATTCGTTTTGAAGAGTAGATCGATTAAATTATGTTTCATTACTTTTATTTATGACAATTATCGCTCTATGTCTCCCAGAAAAAATATAACCATCCTAGTTCTAGATAGTAGATTTGTACAGTGGGGTTAATAAATCTTCCGAGTTTACAGATTAAATTTCCTATAGGTTAAGGTGTTGTGGCGTAAAACTTCCAAATTTTAACGAAAATTTTATTTTATTTGTTTAAATTTGATTCAAACTCAAGTTATAAGGATTTAAGAAAATGACAAATTACTTCAAGTAAGGGTAAACAGTAGCCTTGCACATTGCTTTCACTCTGCTCTTCTTTATGAAAACACTGAAATCTCACCAAATACTATTGTAGTTTTCTGAAATTTTCGATGTTATTTTAATTTATAAATTTAATTTGGAAAATATTACTTGAAAAACCTTCAAATGTTAACATATAAAAGCAAGTTCAGAAAGTTTTGAAATAAAAGATCAAATTCATATCTACATCAAGAGCTATAACTGGATATCATAAGAAATATGGCTGAAACAGAAAATTTGCTTCGCCAAGTAATATGACCGAATATACTTTCTGTTCTGCAAACATCTGTAATAAGCCATAATCGTAGCTCTTCCACTATTTTTACCTCAATATTTCGGTAAATTGAAAGATTTTGAAGTTCTCTAGACCCCTAATATTTTTTCGTCATTATTTGCGTTGTCACACAAAATTTGATTTACTCCATTTTTTCGATTTAGTAATGGTACGGTTCTAATTCTAAGGTAATATTGCTCCATATATGCCTTAAACGAATACCGTTAAAGATGATAACAATTCAACATACAACTTGTTCCGTTTTTGTTCTTAAGCTCATAATTGCGAATATGAAAATTAAATTCAGTTCTCATTTTCATCAAAATTATTGCTTTACTTTCAATTTCAATCAATTTTATTCTACACTTAAATAAATTAAAATATTCAAAATTTCTGTTACATAACAAAATTAATAATTTTTTATCGTAAAAATTGATCTCATATTTTTCTACTATAAAAGCCTTCAAAAGTACTTGCAAAAATCAGAGTTAAGCTTTAACGTTCTTATTGATCACATTAAACTTAAAAAAAAATTATCTTTGCAAAATGTTTGCCAAATTGGTAAGAGAACAAAAAATTTAATTTGACAATTAAAATGTCAGTTTAATAATTTTTTTTCTTCTTTTGCTGATTATTTTACAGTTCATTGTATTTGTTGCTTGTTTAAGCATTGTTTTGGCTGTTCCAGTTCCAGAAGCAAATCCAGAAGCAAAACCTGAAGCAAAACCAGAACCAAAACCTGAACCATTAGTCGTTTCAGCTTATAGTGCTGGTTTACCATTAGTTAATACATATTCAGCTTATCATGGATATCCGTTAACTTATTCAGCACATGTTGGACATGGTTCTATTTTAAGTCCCGTTGTTGTTGATGGATTAGGTTCGGCTGTTGTGGTTTAAACTGGAAAAAGCAACTGGATTTTTAACAAAGAAAATGGTGCAATGAACTTAAGTGTAAATTCAAATTATTTTATAAATTTTTTTTTTGTCACTCTGCTGAAATTATAATTTAATCACTATCTGCAAACTTTAAGAAATAAAATACTTCAAAAAAAAAATTTCAAGCACATATGAATATTATGTTTTCTTTTATATATGAATAAATCAAACGGTTTCAAAATTCGCGAACTGGCCACATAAAGTCTACATTACCCATATTTTAGCAGTGATAAACTTTGTTCTTCGTTAACAGTGTGTTGTAAGGCATGCCCCGCACTCGGATGGGGGCGAACAATAGATCCTTCTACGTGGTCGCGATGCACTGTTGCCCCCGTTGTACAAATCTATAAATCTACAACAGTCATCGCAAAATCTATTTGAGCCTGCCAGTATAAAGAATGCAAATTGTATAATTCCCTGAATAACTGGAAATTTTAAAAAATCTAACTTCTTCTCTTTAAATTTTAAAACAACTCTTGCCTAGTGTTGATATTTTGTTGCTTTACATGGAAAATCCTCTTTCTCCCATATCTCGCCAAAACAATGGCCTTGCAAGACTCGAATTTAATCTTAGACTCTTATTTTCTTCATTGGTTCTAACATTATGAATTTTAACTTTTAATATTTCAACCTTCCTTCTTTCATCTTGGAAAAAATTTATTTTGGTATTGCTTTATGAGGCAATTAGTTAAACAAAAATAATCGAATTAAATCTATTTATACCAAAGATGGTTTTTCAAGAAAAAATTCTTTAAAAATTCTTTAATCTTAGTAGTGATTTTCAATTTTGACTGTTTTGTCAATTTGGAAATTTAAAAGTATTCTTGAAAGTTCGTAAAAATTATTTTTAAAACTTTTATTGAAAACAAATTCCAAAATTTATTAATAATCAAATTGTGAAAAGGAAAGACGGCCATGTTTAATATTTTGTGAAGAATTAGTTCTTTATTTTTCAACCCGAAAAATAGCTGAATACAGATTAATAACTGCTTGTGCATTTTCAGTTCCTACAACTGATTATGTACATATGTATGTATGTTAATTTAAGCCCACGAGGGAATTATCTAAGATCTTTGATAAACAACTAGTGGTTCAGGTTCAGCTTCAGGTCTGGACTCTACAGCAGCTGATACTGCATTAAAAGAACAGGATGAACAAGTAACAGAATAAACTAAAATCTAGAAAAATAAATTATTTTTTTAACATACATATACTTGATTTATGTATGTATGTTGCAGCCCCTTGGATTTTCAAAGAATGTTTACCAATGAGAAGAACAATATAAATGTGTTCAATGAAATTGGAATTGAAACTAGTATGTGTATTTGAACTCAAAATTTAAAATCTAATATCTTTCGGAATTTGAAAACTTAACAACATGAGTGTATAAAACTATCACATAAAATGAAAACATATAGAATTTATATATGTATGGCAACACTTTATAACAATTACTGAAGAGATTTAATAAGATTAGCAGAATATTAATAAATTTGATTGAATTATGTAAAGAGTTACATAGTATAGTACATACATGGGGTCTAAGTTTGAACGTTGGTTATACACTGAATTTGAATGGTACTGAACCAATTTTTCTGCGATATCATTGAGCCGGTTGTGTTAACTAAGTTGCAATTTTAACTAGAAAAATATTTAAAAATTGTTGATTTTAAGTTTTTTCTAATAATATTAGAATTAACAATTCAATTTAGAAAATCAGTTTTTATTTGATCTCTCCAAAATTTTTTAAGATTTTTAAATAACCTCACCGTAATGGGCTTATAACAGTTAAAAATTTGTTGCCGAAAAATAACTAGAACTACTTGTACATTATAAGTGTATTTGTGCATTATAAATAAAAAGCATATTTCACACACATACACCATCAATATCACTACTATTATTTATTTTGGTTATATTTGCATAAAATATAATAAAATTTGTGAAGACTCATCTTAACTAAATCACTTTGTTAGACATATTCTTGTATAACATTGACTCTTTGATATTTAATTGGAAATTTACATGTTGATTTCCATACATGAAAACAATTGTAAAGTCTAATGTACAGTTTTAATCAAAAAATATTTATAGAATTTTTAAATATTCGAAATTTAATGAATACGGTATAGAAAAAATTAGAGGTAGAAGAGGTTACAATGAACTCAGTACATCTTTCCATTTCTCAATTGGTTAATATACATATAGAATATTTCAGTAATATCTCCTAAAGAGTATTTCTGAAATTTCATTGCCATTATTTTCTTGAAATTTTCAAAATTCAATCCAACAATATTTTTCGGAATAAACTA